TTGTTCACATGTGAAGAGACACCGTCCATTTTGATGGTTGTTAGACTATCCTTTATGTTGGATATTATATTATATCCCTGCTTGATGAAATATAGTCCGTCGGACCGACTGTATACGGGGCAAGGGCTTGCGATCAGCGGAATCGAACACGACGGCACAGTCCGCACAAAGTATACAACCGTTCAAACACAAAAAAGTGTGCGAAGCAAATTTGGACATATTTCTCAAAAAAAATAGGTTCAACACTATAGGCTCCAAATAAAATTGATTCACAACAGAGAGGCATTTGCATACTAACCGGTACTTAAGGGTTGATACGTCGACACCTGAATTCACAAAACCGGAGATATTAGCATGCCGCATTTCGGGCATCTGGGGCAAACGAAGGAGACCGTACGCGTTCGCCAAACCGCCAAAGTCAAGTTCTAAACAGAGGGGGGAATAAAAAAGACATTATTGAAAAATGAAATGAAGGGCAGAAGAAACAAAGTGCACGCGGAAGTTAAAGAAAAAAGACAAAGTGAGCGACCCTCAGTGAAAGAAGGCTTTGAGAGTGTAGTAATACACGGACGGGCTTTTGAAATTGAGCCCTATTCTTTTTCTGCTACTGTCCATTCACATAGGAATTTTCGGCAGGGCTTTCTTGTGAAGTCGCCTGGTGGAGGAAAAGGCTTTCTTTATTAACCAATAGGCCTCCTAATGGTCAAATTGGTTGCTCTAATAGCTTATTAGTCTATACGTTTCCTTTAATTAACCAATGGGGTTTCTCTAAAAGTCTTCTTTAGGTCTACAGGCTTCTTTTTCACATACGATTTTAAGTAAAACACCTGCAGGCGGGTTTAATGTGTTTTTTTCCTGTGTCTTTAAACACGCATTACCTGTTCACTAGTCAAACATTAAACCTTTAATCACGAACTCCGTAAGATACTTGGCGGAGGACTATATTTTCGGGCGGCCCTACCGCATTTTCTTATATACATCGGTTTGCCTACTTTGTTCATTACACACTACTTTGCGCCTTACTTTGTTCATTTAAACTACAATACTGAGATAATCTTCACACTACTTTAGCGCCGTCTTGAAGGAATTAACATCTGAGGTAAATTGTGCCGAGTATTAATCAATGATTCAACAACATGTACATATTTGCTCTTTTCAGCTATTATGTGTCGTTTAGGATCGCTAAGTATTAGCTGTTTTGCGTACCCCTTTCTATTCATGATGAATGGAGAACTTTTGAAGCCCAAACTCCCTGTCGTCCATTTCAACCCGCTTTTCGCGTTTGCGGACCATGTCAGGGAGGTCGCAGGCAAAGTGAACCGCTGCACCAAGGTCATCAGGACTCTAGTCGGCACATCTTGGGACTGCGCGAAAGAGACGCT